TGGGGGGGGGGGGGGGGGGGGGGGGGGAAGGAGAAGAATGAAGGAAGGGAGGAAAAGAATGAAGACTGTGAGAGAAATAAACGGATATGGGATAGAGAAACCGCAGAAAATTACTTCCTTAAGTAAAGTAAATATATTAAGAAAGTTAATATCAAATTTTCCGGACTCATGGACTTGCTGAATGCCATGATCAGGAGCAGAGAAACGCGTGCGGTTTGTACGTGTTCGTGTGACAGAGATTTGCCCATGCATAAGCGCCGGCGAGGGTCAAGCCAGGGATCTGACCTGGGAATTTGAAAAAATGAAATTTGAAAAGAAAACGAAATGTATCGATTTTAATGCAAAGAATGAAGATTATTTAGACTGCCTCTGTGGTCTAGTTGTCATCCTGGCTACAGATCCAGAAGTCCGGGTTCGATTCCCAGCGCTACCAAATTTTGTGAAAGTAATGGATGTGGAGCCGGTCACGGTAGCCGAGCGGTCTAAGGCATGTACTGTCTTCGCTCGCTCGGAAGCCGGGATCGTGGGTTCGAATCCCACTCAGGGCATGTATGTTTGTGTGCGTTTTTCTGTGTTTGTGTACAGGTAGAGGCCTTGCGACGAGCTGATCACCCGCCCAAGGAGTCCTACCGAATGTGTAAGATCTAGAAAAACCGAAGTGAACGGAGTTCATGGAGGTAGGCCTAGGCCCACTGGGGCTGTAATGCCAAGGAAAAAAAAATGGATGTGGAACGGGGTCCACTCAGCCTCGTGGGGATAATTGAGGAGCTGTTTCAAGGAAATAGGGGCTCTCGGTATAGAAACCCGAGATTAAGAGCCGTGGGGATTCGATGCGCTGACCACGTGACACCCTCTATCCGCAAAGTTGGCACTAAGTTCGCCGCCAAGCGGCGGTCGCCCGGTCGGTATAGTTCGCTTGCTTCACTGGCATACAATTTAACCTTTTAGTACCAGGTTCAAAATACAACGGAAAAAACTACCACTGATGTTTTTGAGAACTGTTCTGAATGTCATTCATTTTAGATGTTTTGGTATCAAATATTTACGATACATCTGAGACTGTGGTCTTCTGGGATGTGATGCTGTTTTGTATCGCAGAGAGGTGTCAAAGTTTCGGTGGAGTCTTCTGCATCCTAAAATAAGTACCACGACGAAAAAGGTAGGCGTAGTTTCGAAACAACACGGTGTCACATCCCAGAAGATGACTGTAGAGAATGCCAAATCTCACAAACATTTGTATTTTCCTTATTTATTGGCATAGTACAGGTATTCTGTCACTAGAGGGCAGACGCGTATACGACATAAAATGGCGGACACGACTTATTACACACGGGTGATCGAGTTCATGTACGTTTATTCCTATCGATTTAATCATTGCTGGAATATTAATGTTAAAAGAGATTAGCAAATTTCTAACAACCCGCATATCCACAAGTTAACAACATATGAGTGGTATTATCATCATTAGTAAATTAATTTATTTTGATGCTCAAACAAAATGTCAGCTCCAATTAACCATAATGCATTAACTAATGTTTCACTATGTTTTGTCAGTAGTTTACTATATTTAATTTCAATAACATCAGAGAGAAGATGGACAGACTCGAAAAGGCTCGATAAACAGGAGAACACGGTCTATCTATAAGACATTCTATTGTATCGCTTGACGTACAGCATACGAGGTAAAGTACACATACAGAGAACAATGCCAATTCCACTAAGCAGCACACTGCTGATGATTCATTAGCTAACGCATCTGTTAACAAACTCCTTCAGTCGGAGACTACCTTGATGTAACAGTCTGAGGCCACCTAAAACCTCTAAACAAACACAGAATGTAATTCAGCAATTTGAGACAAATTTATTAATTAATCTTGATTATGACTGCCTCTGTGGTCTAGTGGTCGGCGTTCCTGGCTACAGATCCAGAGGTCCGGGTTCGATTTCCGGCGCTACCAGATTTTTTTCTGAGAAGTAGTGTGTCTGGAACGGGGTCCACTCAGCCTCATGATAATAATTGAGGAGCTATTTCAAGGAAATAGCGTCTCTGGTTTAGAAAACCGAAATTAACGGCCGTGGGGATTCGTTGCGCTGACCACGCGACACCCTCTATCCGCAAAAGTTGGCACTAAACTTCGCCGACAAGCGGCGGTCGCTCGGTCTGTATATTTCGTTTGTGGACTAAAATCACGGAGTTATATTTATGAAGTAATTTGAATTAACCGTTATATAACTCAATTAGGTGTGGGTTTCTTTAGGACTAAAGTTAATTCAGCATCCTATATTGGGAAAATTTTCAGCGGCCCCTTGAAAAACTTTCATGTCCCTCCGTGGGGGGCCACAGCTTCAACTACGAGAAAAGCTGAGTTAAACTGCATTTCCTACCTCTTCATGTTCCTTGTGGAATCTTTCTCTTTTCCTCAGAGCCTCCTGGACTTTAAGCTGAAACAAATAAAGAAATAAAAAGTTATTAACATTTAATTTTGCCTTTAATTACATTGCAAAACATTGCCGAGGGAAGCACAGAACACATCCTACAAATTTTTGCTCCAAAACTAACGCGCCCATTTTTCATAAATGATCTACATTTTCACAGGGCCCCAAATCCACAACAGTATAGCTAACAATAAGAATTTGAACTACATACACGAAATCAGATTACAGCGAAGATTAAGGTAGTTATCCCAGGGATTATGTTATAATTAGCATCACACCTTGAAGACGCATGGGGGAATGGAGGTACAGCTGCATAATATTTTACTCCGGCACTAGTTGGAGGTGAGTGCTTAGCATCACGCCTCGCTGGAGGCTGGGTGGGCCCCAGAGCCGCTCTCGACGTTTTGAGAAAGTCTCTTGCCCCTACCGGGAATCGAACCCCGACTTCTAGGCCGTGCAGCATGTACCCTAGTCGCTATACACATACAACAAACACACCGAGCGCTTTGGCATAGCAGCAACTTACGAATTCATATTCGGGAGAACCTCGTTGCGAGGCTCGGTGGGGACATCAGCTATCCTGACTCTGGGTTTTTGTGACGTTCCTCGGTGATTCCATGCGAACTCCAGGACAGTCTCTGGATTGTATCTGAACCGGGTCCTTCCAAACCACTACGTCCTATGCAGTCTAGCTGTCACTACCCATTTGTCCGTCCATCCGTCCCTCCCTCCATCCGCCCGTCTATCTATAGCCTTCATGGACCTCGGCCGCTTTTTTCAATTGATTCATCTATACACAGTCGGTAGGACTCCTTAGATGGGGGATCAGCCCGTCGCAAGGCCGCTACCTACACACAGAGTAAACTCACAGACATCCATGCCTCGAATGGGATTCGAACCCACAATCCCAGTGTTCGAATGGGCGAAGAAGGTTCATCTTAGACTGCGCGGCAGCTGTGATCGGCTGCTAACAGTCTACACTATCAAAATTACAGGGGCATACGCAATAATGAAAGTTTCGCTTATATACGCACAATGTTATTAAAGCCAGGGTTGCCAGAATTCTCCAGATTGCGACATATGCACGTAGGGGGAATACCGGATTTTCGCATGAGATGGATGCAAGTTACACAAGTATACATTTTATTTCTAAATTTCTGCGATACACTTAACATGTTCGACTATCGGTGAATTGCAGTCACGACAGGTATGTAGGGCACTTAATGACGTCATCTCAAATGCAGATATAGGCCTATAGAACACGCAGAAGAAATAAGAAATGCATTTGGATTGGAAAATCTCACGGCAAGACAGAACTGGGCGGATCACGGTAGCCGAGCGGTCTAAGGCATGTACTGTCTTCGCTCGCTTGGAAACAGGGATCGTGGGTTCGAATCCCACTCAGGGCATGGATGTTTAGTTTGTGTGTGTGTGTGTGTGCGTTTTTCTGTGTTTGTGTACAGGTAGAGGGCTTGCGACGAGCTGATCACCCGCCCAAGGAGTCCTACTGAATGTATAAGATATAGAAAAGCCGAAGTGAAAGGAGGTAGGCCTAGGCCCACTGGGGCGTAGTGCCAAGGAAGAAAAAAAAGACATAACTGGGGAGACTAAAGGCGCAGAAACTACACAAGCATGCGCAGTACCTATCTATACATGGTACCCCACCCTCAGCTTAGGTCAATTCAGTTTTCCGAATTTCTTATTAATTTCATTTAATTCTTACGTCTTGATCATGAATGAAATGAAAGCAGACCATTTGCCTAAGCCAAAAGAAGACTGTTTTAAGGTTCTGACAGCGGTGGCTATGAAGAGATATGATGACGTGTAGTCCGCTGAAAGCCAACAGACATTTCGGAGGAACATATTGCTTCCATCTTTACTTCTAGACCAACCTCCTTGTTAGCGTAAATTAAAATTTGTGTTTTTCTTTATGGTATCTTATATGATCCCCCAGCAGATTCACATCATCAGCATACACCAATAGCTGATGTGTCCTATTTAATTTCAGTCCCATCTGGTTTTTCGGGACCTTCCTAATGGCATATTCTGTAGTAAAGTTGAAAAGCAGTGGTGACAGGAAAATTATAAGACAAATGTTTACCTATACGGACTTTACTATACGTTTCGTTTAAGCACATTTTAATCAGTCCAAATAGTTTCATGGGTAGTCCAAACTCTATGAGAATACTGTACAATACTTCCCTCCTAACTGAATCATAGGCTTTCTTGAAGTCTATTCCCACTGGAAAATTTAATATATGTTTTAAAGTGATATTGCAATATGACAAATATATTTTGATATAAGATGCGAAATTTTCTCACACGCACACGCACACGCACGCACGCGCGCGCACACACACGAAAACAACTCCCTCACAGTTGTGGAGCCATTCGGAGTTCTAAATGATTAGGCCTTGTATGTCTTTAGAATTATAGTCCACATACCGCAATACATGGAATATACATTTTAGACTAAAGCAGGAAAAATCGTGACACAGCTGTCTTAATCTAATTCAAATGTGACAATTAATTATACATTTTATGCAAACCTCGTGAATATCGCGTACAAGGCATTCAAGTGGATTATGGGAAGGATTTCTTATCAGCCGTATTGGACCATGGGCAAATCTGTAAGATTTGTGATGAAGCTATTTACTGGAAAGCGAAGAGGCAGTTTCGTCCACTGTCGCCAGAAAACCACTTGGCACAGACATGATAAACCGGGGGGGGGAGTAACATTTAAGAGTTTATTCGCGCCATGTAGCCGGGCCGGAAGGGTTGTAAACTGGATCATATCCTAGCGGTGAAACTCGTCAGAAAGTCTCTAAGGTCTTTAAAGATCCGAAAACTACGCGCACCAAGATCAGCTTTTTGCCCCCATCAGTTTACTTCCTGCGCAACAGGCTCTAAGAACAAGCCTTGTTACTATGCGAGACACAAACACAGGACGGTTACATAGTGCCCGAGGCTTATGGACTTCCAAAGAATACCTAGATCATATATCAGGTGCTATTTTCAAACAAAGCAAAAAACAAACCCCGTGGCTTGAGCCCGCAAGCGAACTACACCGACCGAGCGACCGCCGCTTGTTGGCGAAGTTGGTGCTAACTTTAGCGGACAGAGGGTGTCACGTGCTCGTTTCTCAGAGGGCAAAGCGGCCGAGGTGTGATGCTGACCATTCACCTCCAACTAGTGCAGAGGTTAAGAAAATGCGGATCTATAAATCCACTCCTTCATGTCTTCATGGTGTAGTGTTTAATTAGTTAAGCACAGGAACAACTTTACCTGTACTCACTTTAGTAGATTATAAATAGCTGGAATGTCTAATTAAAACTACAGTTGCAGTAGTGGACTAAAATTTGTATACCGTTGTAATTCCTGAAGAGCCAGAACGTCTCAGTCAGTATAGCGACGGGCTACTAGCTCGACAGCTGGGGTTCAATTTCCGACAGTAGCAAGAGATATTTCTCTGCTCCACTTGTATCCAGACCGGCTCTGGGGCCAACACATAGAGTGGGTGCCGGACGGGCGTTACCCGGGGGTACAGAGGTCGGGGTGTGAGGCTGGCCATTGACCCACATCTAGTGCGCAGGTCTGATTCCCCATACTTCATGGTATAACATTTCAATAATTAAACAGAGGTACAGTTTTGCCTTTTATCAGCTCCTGATGATAGCAAATGAGTATGGAGAATTCGCGTAATGTGGAAAACCGATGCACTCCTACAGAAATCTGACCAGAGTCACTCCGTCCAACACAGATCCCACATTGACTAGCCTGTGAGTCATGCCGAGCCTCCGTAGTGAGAAGCCATCAACTAACCGTTATGGAACTGCTTTCAAATTACATTACTAACTTCACTCGGGTCAGGGAAAGAATGTACATGAGTGGTGAGAATATAAGTCGCGCGGCCTGCTCACACTTGCTACATGAATCTCACGCCTCCGCACCATCAACAACAAAAACCCAAATCTGTATAGTCTCGATACTGACAGGATCGTTAAATAATCAACTTAAAATAACGCCAATATGAAACCGAGAATGCAAAGAGAGCGAGTGAGATTACAAGTGATAATTCGTGGGAATGGGGAAAGATAAACAGAAGATGGTAGTGGATTATGTCTTTCAGTATCGAGACTACATGGCGTCGGATGTTGGAATGATCTAAATGAGGCACCATACTGATATTTGCCTGGAGAGACAGAGTAGAGCCACGAAAATCCCTATGTATGTATGTATTATGAGAGGGGGTGGGTTTCCCCATACACTTAGACCAGTTATTGGTCCATTGTGCGTCCCCCTTTTAATTTCTACTGTCGCCATACCCATCAGCCCCCGTAGAGCCAACGAGGTCGGCCCCCGGTATCTTGATGCTTCCCCCATCCACCAGAGGCATTGGAGACTACTTGGGCGGGAAAAGGCTTGTAATTTAGCTCAGAGGTCTCCTAGAGACATGAGGTTCTTTTACGTGCCGTAAATCTACGACACGGGAAACACGGCTTAAAGGCCCGCCGGAGGACTTGTTCCCTGAATTTATAGTTAACTATATGCCAGTGATTCTCAAAACTGTTGTCCGTGGCGGTCCATCACATGGTCCGTAGTATTATACAGTCCATAAAACATTATGCGACATATAATAAATAGAATTTACTCGTAAATTTAAACATTTGCGATGAATGGCCGTTAAAAAATAATTTTAAATTGGTGGATAGAAAAATGTGGTTTCTGGCAACTTTTAACTATGTTTATCCTATTCGCAGAAGAAAACGTAACTACAGGTTCTTTACAGCTACAGGGAATGTTACAATGACCGAGTGGCCCGCGCGTGCGCCGTGGTCCGCAGCTGCAAGAAGTATGACACGTAGAACGGAGGTATATGCTAGGCTTCCGGGCGACGAATAGTGTGTTCATTCTTTCAATGTACCGAATGCAGCTATGCAAGCACAGGTAGAGTGGAACCGCAAGGCCCTCGGGTACAAGACGGGCGGACTTGCGGTGGGAGCACA